AATGTTCAAGTTTGTCAAGATTCTTCTGAATCTTAAGCCTATCTTCTGGAGTGTTGGCTATTCCTGCCATCTATTACTAGATGGCATATACTATTATTATATATACAGGTAGTCCTTGAATTAGGGATCATAATTGAGCCCAAAATGTCTGCTGCCTAGCAAGACTGTTGTTAAGGGAGTCTGGCCCCATTTTATGACCTTTCTTGCCATTGTTGTTAAGTTAATCACTGCAGTGGTTGAGGGGATCACATGACCCCAGGGCACAGCAACTGTCATAAATACATGCCAGTTGCTAAATGCCTGAATTGTGATCTCACGATTGTGGGGATGCTGCAACCATCGTAAGTGTGAAAAATGGTCATAAGTCTCTTCTTTTGGTGCCATTGTAACTTCAAACCATCACTACGATAGGTTGTAACAGAGGTGGTATACACTTACCCTCCCTACCGGTTCACAAAATGTGAGCGCGAGAATTTTAAAGGAGAAGATCCTTCCACGCATGCACTTTTGGCAAAAAAAAATGACCTAAATGGGATGCCATAGAGCCAAGCGTGGGTGGGTGGAGCCAAGCATGGGTGGGTGGAGTCAAGCATGGGTGGGCGGAGCCACCCATGATTTCCGCTACCAATTCGGGTGATCCAGTCCGAACAGGTGGAATACCACCTCTGGGTTGTAAGTCAAGGACTATGTGTATAAAATATTTCATTTGTCACTAAATCTTTTGCCTAACCTTGTATCTGGGGCACCTAGGTCCCATCTTAATGCTGGTTTTGCTTTAATTCTTTTCTTTTCCTTCTTGTTTCAATCAGTGAAAAATCAGGCCCGCTGGGTGAAGCAGTTCATTTTTGACATGGAAGAGCTCTTTAGGATCACTAAGGACCCTTATTTCAATGTCATCATCGTAGACTACAGCAGTGATGACATGGATATAGAAAAAGCTCTGAAACAGTCCACCTTGCGCAGGTAAGGATCTGTTTCCTTTAAGAAATCTATTTTCAAATAGAAACAGAAGTCACCAGATACCAAGTCTATAAAGAGTTGACTTCTCAATTAACAACAACCAAAGACAGGGGTACTAGATTTATGCAAGATTAACTCAGCGTTTAGAATCATCTCTAAAAACGATCAAGCGTTTCTTGAGAAGTCCAAAACTTTATGTTTATTTTTACATCAGTTTTTACAAGATCAGAAAGATGTTCAGTGAAATCTCATCATATCTATTAGGATTTTAGACATGTTATAAATTGTTGGTGTTTGGGGTGGGGGGGAATACTTACCTTTGTCCTAAAGTCTTCATTTGAGTAATCCAGTTAATTCTACCTATAATTGACCCCTTTCACTTGTAACATTTCACTTGCTGTATTTACTCACAGTGAGGTGCAGCATCTTCTTGCTCGTAGGAATGACAAGTCACAACCCTACTTTCATTTTATGGATGGAAGGTTGGAATTGAGAAATAGTTCATTTTAAAACAGATGGCGATTTGTAACAGATTTGGGAAAGGATTGCCAGAACTTCCATAGTTCACTCTGTCACAATTATAACTTCCATTTTCTCGAACTTCTCTCCAGCTACCAATATTTGCGATTGTCTGGGAATTTTGAGAGGTCTAAGGGTCTGCAGGCTGGCATAGACAAAGTCCGGGTAAGTGGTAAGAGTTTGTAATGTAGACTGTTAAGATGCCTACAACTACAAGGAAAAGGCATTTAAAGATGATCATCTTAGCATGTTGCTTTTCAAATAAGATGATTCAGCTGTATTGGCATCTCTGCTTCATAAGCTGCACTAACTGTTTATTTTATTTATTTATTTTTATTTATTTATTTTATTTATTTTATTTATTTTATTTATTTTATTTATTTTATTTATTTTATTTATTNGAAGGGGACAACAGAGAATGAGGTGGCTGGATGGAGCCACCAAAGCAGTTGCCATGAGCCTAAAATGCACTCCAGAGGATGGTAGAGGATAGGAACACCTGGAGGAACATTGTCCATGGGGTCACGATGGGTCGGACACAACTTTGCAACTAACAACAACAACAGCACCATAGAAACTTTAGTTAATATGAAAATGTCACCTCTTCATGAAAAATAATCTCAAAAGAGTGGTGCACATGTTGGTATTCTTCAAGATTGTGCCTTTGTGTCTATCTGGAAATGTCCGTTAGCACAAATCTCCAAAGGCAGATTTTACTGTTTAACTCCACACACGTTTTGTATGACTATTTTGATGGAAGCATCGGCATGGAGGATAATGTCTCCGTTCAAAAGCAATTATTCAGCGATGTGTAGTTACCAATAATACCCATGGATTTATTACTTGCTACTAGCAAACTGCTTTTCTAAATCGCAAGTCTATTTTATTCAGTGATTGACTAAATAACATCCACATTGCAAAAATCAACAGAACCAAGCAGATATTATGCCTTAACATGTACAGCAAACAAAACTCAGATGAGTTCTATCTACAGCCCAGGCTCATTATCTTCCTACAGGGGAGAGGTTGAAATGCAAGCTCAGCCTTGAGATGGCTCTGAACATATTCCAATCCTTCCATTTCTGCCTTGGTAAAGCCATCTATGTCAGACAAAGGAGGAGCCATATGGAAGATAAAGGAAAAATATGTTGAATCCCAATGCATGCTGATCATTTAAAATACAAACAACAAGTCAGTTTATCATTTTCTCTCTCTCTCTTTCCAACTAGTACTATATTGAGTAAACTTTCCATGAGATGCAAAATTGCACCTGCTAAAAAAAATAGCTTTTTCCAGGGTTCTCACCAGTCACTCTGTCTTCAAGATTTTGGATTGTATTCCCCTCTCCCATGGAAAACCCCCTTTTCATTTTTCTTTTCCTTCCTTTCTCCTCCTCCTGCATTTTGTAGTTGTTAGAATTTAAAGTACTGAATATGTTTGGATACTCATCAATTCTATCTGTAGTCTGGTCAAGTGATTAAGTCACTAGACTAGAAACCAAGGAGACTGTGAGCTCTAGTCCCGCCTTAGGCACGAAAACTGGTGGGGTGTTGTGTCCCAGCAGTCGCCGTTGGAGCTGCCACCAGACTCTGACAGCGAGGGGCCCTATGAGTTGACTCTGGAGGATGTGGAGGATCCTGGACAGGGTTCCGACTCCGAGCAGGGCACAGAGAGCCTGGTTGGCCACCAGGAGGCACCTGAGCCTTGGACCAGTGGGGAGGAGACAAGGGAGAGTGAGCTGGGCGCCAGCAGTGAGTTTTTCCTGGATGCACTGAAGAGCTACTAGGCGTCAGGAACAGTTGCACAGTTACAGGAGGTAATTGCACTCAGCTGGTGGTCAGGCTCCTCTCCAGACTATAAAAAGACTGCTTGTGCACACCCCCCTTTTGCAGAAGTCAACGCAGGAACGAATGTTGGAGAACATTACTGTGAGCTTGGCAGGCTGGATTGCTGCCCAAGCTTGTCTGTGCCGGTTTGCTGCCAAGGACCTATCTCTGTTAATTA